GTCAGACAGTAGAAATGAATGGAAGTCAATGGGGGTGAAAACATGGACGCCACCACCTGCAGTCAGAATGAGCGACGCTGAGGAAGGAAGCGGCAGAGAGAGACAGAGAATAAACGCTGATTCCACTGATTATCAGGAAATCAATTTAACTTTTTTAATTGTTGTTTTTATTAGAGAAACTTCCTGAATGAAGCTGATTACTGGGGGAGAGACGGCCTACTGGTTAGAGCAGCGCTCTGCGCCCTGAGAAGGCTGCAAATACCCGGGTCCATCCCCACAGACTGCCACTCTGGGTCCCTGAGCAAGACCCTTAACTCCACCCTGCTCCCCGGGTGCCGCACCATGGCAGCCCACTGCTCCCCAAGGGGAGGGGTTAAATACAGAGGTAAATTTCTCCACTGTGAGATCAATAAAGTTTCATTTACATAAAGTTGCTCCATAGAAACAGGAGACTTTACTGTAAAGTCAGGATGTTTTTCTCTGGTTGATCTTCAATGTTTCTCTAGAATTTAACACAGAGCTCGTCTGCATGGAGTCACTATAGGAACTAGGAACAGATTTAGAACCTGTTCACATTTACATGGCTGGTAAACAAATGATGCTGCTGGAGCTTTTCACACAATCATTTCCATCTAGAGCCTCTGATTCAGTTACAGCAAACAGACGGAGCCGTAAAAGCAGAATATCGGTGTTTCCCTGAATCTATCAGCAACATCTGAACCTGATTGGTTTTGCAGAACGTTGGTGTTTTTAATCCAGGTTTGGGGGTTAAAAACACCAACGGTCCCTAAAAGCTGAAGGTTGTTTTGTTTTTTTTGCATTCTGTATTTACCTTTTATGACAAAAGAAAACAACAACCAGAAAGACAAACTATAAAATTGTAAAAACAAACAGGAGCTGTTTAAAAACAAATGTTTTAATGGATTAGAATGAGAGAAGCTAGTTTCTGTCCTATGCATGTTTCTAAAGCCAGGATGCTAATAAAGACAAGCTAACTAGCGCCTGCTGTGGTAGGGTGACCAGATGTGGGTTTGTGAAGGAGGACCCGGTGACGGTACGCTTCCACCCGCCTGCCTTACCTCACCTCAGCGCCGCGGCTCCGTTCTGATGCGCTGTCCTCAAACAGAATCCTGGACGATTCTGAAATTCCCCCCAAATTTTTTTTAGGTATGAAAAGTAGGACATGTCTGGAAAAAAGAGGACGTCTGGTCGCCCTATGCAGTGGATGCAAACAGACAACCTCATCATGGACGTCTGATGGCGGTCAGAGGGCCTGATGGCGCCGGCGTTCGGCAGCCTGGCTTCTGCCAGTGAGCCCCGGGGCAGCTGTGGCTGTAATGTAGCTCACCACCATCAGTGCGACAGTGAACGGGTGAATGACGTGTAAAGCGCTTTGGTCAAGTTCTCTGACACAGAAAATCACTTTAGAAGTTCGGGTCATTTAACATTTACTGTAAAGCTCAGAACAGAAGGATCCAGAATTAAAAGAGGAAAACCGGTTAGATTTCTCAAAGCGTTTATTAAAAACTGAATCGGAGCTCGTCTGCCTGGCTGTGTGTTTCCTGGACGGGGCCGCCTGTGGAGCTGGTTGACAG